ATAGTATAGGTTTAGGGAAAGAAAAGAGGGGTAGGGAATGGGAGAGACCCACACAAGCTCTCTCTCTTTACTTTTCTCTCTACTTAGAAGGCAGGGTGTGTGTGTGGACTGACAGACTTTATTGGTGGCGGAGGCGGTTTTCTATACACACTGCTTGTGCAAAGATTCTTGGGCATAGAAGAAGGGAAGAACTTTACCAGCAAATATCATGAGAGTAGTGAGGGAATTACTTCCTCCTCACCTCTTCTTTAATTATTATACTATGAGTATAGCTGCAACTAACTACCTGAGTAATATAGTATCCCACTACTCATCTCATCCAACCTCATCTAGCCCACCAAGCTCTAATGTAGATCCCATACCAAACAGACCAACCAAGCCGAATCACCATCACAATAAATGAAGAAATAAACTCAACAGTAAACCGCGCATCTCCCATCACCCTTACCAAATTCCCTCAGCTGGCCCCTAGCCCAGCCCCTAGCTCCCTCCCCCAGATGTCAGCATGTCGACACCCACCATGACAAAAACAAAAAGAAAATCAAAAACAATAACAGACGGAAATCCCGGCTGGGTAAAGAGATATGAGTGGATGGCTAGTATCGGCTAAAACGGCGTGTTCTACCTACCTATTACCTACTAACTATAGTAGTAACCAATCTATCTATCTGGAGAGTAAACTCCCCTCCAATCCATCCTTATTACTAGTAACTACTATAGACCTGACTGACTTCGTAGTAACTACGGACGTAGCTCCCATGTCACTCACTCAATCACTAAATTCCAACTCAGCTGATACTCACTATTTCATTTATTTGTCTCATATTTTATTTTATTTTCATTCCTATTACTATCACCCGCATCAGATAACCCAACAAAAAAGCTACTAAGTACACTAACTACATTATGATCACCCTATGTCCTCATAAACCATTTCTTCATCTAAGTTCTTAGGGGGGTTTTTTTTTCTTTGTGTAACTCGTATTATAACTATTAAGCCATTATGATGCATCATCATCTCGCTGAGAAAATATAAATGCCGCGGGATTTTTTTTTGCAAACTGAAGAAAATTTTCTTTCATTTCCACTAATTTATAATTATAAGTTCCAGGTGGTCGAACGGGTCCTGGACTATGTTCAGGAAAATCGATGCATTCGTGTTCGCTGTTTGCGGAAATGTAACCTCATCTCCAAATTCTCCACCCACCAGGTTCCCTGGAGCTTGAAGAGCTTCACCCGGTCTAGCTAGATAGCTCAGGACGGTGGGGGTCCACTTATCTGGCCCTGAAGTTTGTTTGTTGGGGTTTGGAGGAGGGTGAAGTTACGAAGATGGCTGAATTTCTACCAACCCAAGGGAAAAAATGTCAAGTTAAGCAAAGGTATAGCATTCGCTATGAATCACCTGGTCAACGCCGCTCTCCCGGGTATTGTCTCCCCTCGTACACACGACACCAACCAAGCCAGCAAGTCCCCGCCCAAAGGAAGTAGTAGCAGTAACAATAATAAACAGACAAAAGAAAGGAAGAAAATAAATCAATACTAAAACATAGTTTAGAGCAAAGTAATCACTCAAACGTATAGGGTACTCATGCACTGACGGGAAAATCCTCCATGGTAAAAAATTCATCAAACGCCGTTTCCGATTCCGGCAGCTGGGGACCACTGCCCAGCCCAAATGCGAACCGGCTGAAATCTTCATAGTCAGGATCCATATGGTGCTCCTGTGCGTATCCCATCACCCCCTCGTCCTTGTTCAGGTCTAGCCCCCAAAGACCCGGGTCCTGCCCTGTCGATGTGGGGGACTGTGGTGTGCTGGGCGTCGGACACAAGTCTGGTGTCGGCACTGGCTCTGTGGAATCCATCGGCATGCCTGGTGGAGAGTTGAGCTGAGACAGGTTGGCTAAGCTTTGCGTCCGCAGAGCTTGGCCAGGCTCCGACCGGACTCGAGTGTGCTGGTACATCGGGTGGGCCGGTCGAGGACCGGCCGACACCGTTGAGGACGAGGACGACGTTGTTGTTGTGGGAGGCACCGTAGCACTGCTGTTGCTAGACGCCGCGGGAGTTGCAAGCAAGGGGGAAGGCATCGCGTGAACGGGAATGACCGGCGCCGAACCCATGCGGTCCCGGAACTGACGAACCGGCATGGCGCCCATTTCGCCCATCGTAGTGGCCGGGACCTGCTGCACCGGCGACACGAAACCTCCTGTCCAAGGCGATCGCATGGGCTGCGGCCCGTTCAGCTGCGCCGGCCAGGTGGGTCCGCCCGCGGTCTGGGTGAGGTAGGATGGTAGTTGGCCCGACGACGCGGGGACGACGCTGGGATACGACGGCGACTGGGAATTTCCGTCGTATGTGGGGGAAAGCACATAGCTACCCTGGTGTGGTGCCAACGGGCTAGTCATTGGTCCGGTGCTCATACCGTCGGAGACAGAGGCACGAAGCCCAGACAAGTCCAGACTCATCTTGCGGATGCCGTTGAGAGACGCCCGCGGGTTGAGTTGGGAGCTGGCCCGACGCTGGTGCAGAGCACTAGGACGGTTCGCAAAAGCCGCCATAAGATTGCGGTTGAACTCGGTTTGCAGCTGCATCGACTGAGCATGCAGCATGCGGTTGATTTTCTCTTGGTAGCGGTCATCGACCTCTTCGTACATGGCCTCTCGTTCAACAATTTCCCGACTGATGAGGAGAGCCTTGCCGGTCCGCTGCTTGTGCAGACTGGAGGCCCGGTTGGCCGATTCCACGCGAGCATCTAAGCTGCGGTCTTTACGACGGGAGGCGGCTATGAAGGCACTGTTTTCTCGTCAGCGGGCTTGCAGGCAGAGAAATAGTGGCCAAATAGATAGCCTACCGTTCCTGGTTCTCCTCCTTTGTGCGGGGATTGGGACAAACATCCACATCGATGGCGGGAGAGCCCATCGTGAGTGAGTGTAGCGGACAGTGACGGGGAAAGCAGTGTGGCAGTTAAGGCAGTATGGTGTGATGTGTGGCGCGGCGTGCGTAAGCAGTGAGACGGAGCAGATGACTGCAAGATCGGCAGTAGTATGTTGAGGAAAGAGGAAGATGTTTCACCACGCCTTGTACACAAGATAACGATAATAGAAGGGAAGGGACAGAAAAAGACGGGGGGTTGAAGTTAAATAAAATGGCAGCTGTTAGAAATAACGGCAGCCAAGGAGGGGCATCCAACAGTGAGCAGAGCGTCAGTAAAGTTGACACCGGGAGTGGTTCAAGCAGCGAAGTTTAGCTGTCAGGTCACAACAGCTCAGCCAGCCAAGGGCCGAGTCTAGACGAGATATCCAGTGCTGGGGCAAGTCTGGGTCGCCGAAACAAGGGCCGACCAAAAGTCAGGCTCTGATGGAACCATGGAACGAGCGACAGTGCAAGGTTCTTGCAGAGCCGGGACTCAGACATGGGAGGAGACTGGATCCCATGGAAGAGCGGAAGTCTGAAGTGGGTGACTAGCAGGGGAGGACTAGGAGCGAACCGGAACCATTTTCCAGAGTAACCAGAGGAATTGAGGAAGGAAGTAGCAGACAATGTTAGTCGATGAAAAGAAAAGCGAATAAAGATAAGCAAACGAGAAAACAAGAAGATGAGATGGGGAGAAGAGGAGAGGAGCATAGGTACTTCGAGAGGAGATAAGCAGATCGAGGGAGGGGGGGAGCTACACACGAAGCGGAGACATCGTTTGCCCAGGATGATCCTCGTGATGGGGAAACACGATCGATCTTGCCAATGCCAGGTATGAAGTCGCTAGCAGGTATCTTGTCAGTATCATTGCCAGCGAGAAAGTACCTCCCAGTAACTCCTATACCGTACGAGAATCTTACTAGATACACTAGTACTAAGTAGTACGAGCCGGACAGCCTAAACTAGTGCAGAGATCGGCCAGGTCCGATCTTACCGTGTGATTGGCCACAACTGGTTATCATTACCGTATCGGGTAGAGTGACAGATGCGCGGGTTTTCGCCCGTAATCCGAGCATACGCGCTACTGTAGGAACATCGGGGATTTGTTCGGCCTCGTAACTTTCACCACCACCACTAAGTACCACCACTAACCATTTCAATTTTGCTTCTCTCCACCGCTGATCTTCCCATCTGCCTCCACCTGCCAGATCTTCAGTCCAAGCCACAATCTCTCTCCTACTATCTTTCCCCAGTACACACGGACATTATTAGACCGATTAACAGCGAGATCAACAGTAGACAAGGATGTGGATCTATTTTTCAATCGTCCTAACGCATACCTAATCTGGGAATTCCTCTACCTTGTCTGTGTGGATCAACCTATCTCACTCCGCAGACAACAAATAGCAATCCAATAAGTAAGTATTAGATTAGATTAAAACAGCAGCAGAGCAGCAAGCAAGACCATCGCCAAGATCTTAGGACACTTCGCTTAAACAACAAACATAGACATTATCACCCATACCTACTTCAACTTACTTTGACCTGAAAAAGTAAATACCTTCATAATCTAATCGCCTCCCCTAAGTACACCCTCCCCATCCCTCCATACAGGACGTACAGACCACTTCTCAACCCACGGAATCAAGTCTGGATAACAACCACCACCCAAACTAAAACCCCCGTAGCCACCGCCACGCCACCTACCCAAACCCCAGGTACAATCCCCCCCCTCTCCTCTCCTTCCAGCTGCCCATCTCGTAAATCCCCTTACCCCCTTACCCAGGTACTTAGACCACTTGCCCAGCAACAACCTCGGACACACTAAGGTACTCCTGGGCATGCTCGTCTACTTTCCCTTTCCAGCACACCATCGCCTTGCCTTGTATACCTAGACCTCTTCGACATCTAGCCTCTCTCAAATCCAAGTCCCCTTCCCTCTTCCTCTTCCGTTCTACTCCTAGTTTCCGCATCGGCTTCTGCCGCCATCCATCCATCCACCCACCCATACATCCAACTCATGCAATATAGCTAGCCCCCGTCCCCTGTCCCTCGCCCCTCGCCCCTCGCCCCTCGCCCCCCTATTTTCGCCACAAGAGACATAGACACACACACAGAGAGATGGAAGAGGCGTAACCCCACATACGTACCATACGTACCTACACAGAACATGGTACCACACACCCCGGGGAACTTGTGGACTGACTCGCGGGATATGATGTTTGTTGCCAGTGCCATGTTCCTCCTTCGTCCAATCCCTGTCCCTTGGGTAGGCTTGGCTTTCGTCGTTGTGTGGCTGCAGCTAGGGGGGAAGAATTTACATTGACACCCAGGGTGGTGGGAAGGAAGGAAGAAAACCCAGTACCTAGGTTAAGTTACTTAGTTTAGAGGGCCAGCACATGTGGTGGTGGGAAGGTAGGCTGGTTCTAGACGGGGGGGATGGGGGGCGTTTGGTCCGTGAGTCCGGTCGGGCGAGGGGGAGGGAAACATGGGTGTGTTGCTTGGATGTGTGCATGCAATGCATACAATGTAGGATTGATGGATGGATGGATGGTGATAATGGATGGATTATTGATTGGATTGGGTGTGACAATACAGGGACAATTGGTTTGTCTTTTGTCTTTTGTCTTTTGTTTTGTGCATTACTTGGTTAAGTTCCTTTGGACATAGGAAGCTACTAACTAGCTATGCTACTACTTACTACTTACTACCTATCTGAGGAGGAGTTGGTGTAGGTTGGGGGCGGGCTGTCAAACTTGCTTGAGTTGGTATACACGGCATAAAGGGGGAAAAAAAGAAAACACTAAATCATCCACACACAACGGCAGGCAACTATGCAGGGCTAGCTAGCAAGAGAAGAAAAGCTATCAATCACACTTTCAAACAATCCCCTCTTCCTCTCTCATCAAACACGGTGGAGAAGAGAAGAAAGAGGAGGTGTGGGGGGGAAGAGGGGATCAAAGAAGGGAGACTAAATCCTGTCCGACAAAAAGTGTAAGTAATGGAAAGTTATCAAATCAGGCTATACCCAACGACGGCACCATCCCCTGCTCCTCTTTGTGCTCACTGCCCACCCGGTATGACACTCGGTACCGCATCTTGATCGAGTTGCCCTTGCCCCCTGCTACCCCGGAGATGAGCATCTCCTGCTGCACTCCGTTGTTCTGCAGCGGTCCAATGTCCCGCCCGGACTGCGGGCGGAGCTGCAACGTGTACGCCTGTGGGAATTGTTTAGCTTCTTCCTCTTCTGTCCGTTGGTTTCCGTGCCCTGTCCGAAGGGAAGCGGGCGGAACTTTACGACTCACCTTCTCCACAGCCACCTGGAAGTGTAGTTCGTTCAGTGGCTGGCTCGTGCCGTTCGAAAACAGGGCCACCACATGGATCTGCTGCGACTGCTGGGGGTGTCGTCGCGCCACAAATTCAATTCGGAGCGCCGAATTCAATACCGACACTCGGTTGGTGCTCGGTAGTGTGTTGCTCTCCGGCAGCGACGATGCAAAGTTCCATTCGTCCTCCTCCGCCGCCTTGCCGCTGCTGCCAACCGGTTGCGTCGGTCCGCTTCCTGCCAGATCGAGCAGGGACCCCCCAGCGGCTGCATGGCCGGCTGCAGATCCTCCAGACGGGAGGGGACTGGCATGCCGGGGACTAGCGGATACCAGCGAAGCGAATGGGTCGACAGCCGGTGGGGGAGTGGGCGTCGCGACAATGCTCTGGGGTCGTGCGCTTGGCACCGGAGTGGCTGACTGCGATGGCGGTTGAGAAGAGCTGCCCAGCGAGGACAAGATGTCGTAGTTCGGCTTGAATCCAGCAGGAGCCTGCGGCACTGGCGGTGTAGCAGTGGTCGTGATCGCTAGCACGAGCATTAGCCATGTCAAATCGTTCATGTCAGCAGCAGATATCTCCTACATGGTCCTAACGAAATACCACCCACAGCCGGAGCGGGCTCATCTATCGACAGCCCCAGCAAGTCGTTCTCCAATGAATTGCCTCCGGTCGCGGCCGGCGCACCGTTGCCGTTGGTACTGGCACTGGCAGGAGGTTCCGGGTCGAAGTCGATAAGCGACAGCTGGTTGTTCGCGTTCTTCGATACACCTGTTGTCGTGCCCAGTGTGCCCTTGGGGATCCGTGTGGCGGCTTCCCAGTCGCCCTTCTTGACGAGCTTGTACCGCTCAATGGTCCGGTGTATGCTGTCATTGATCTCGAGCAACTTGTGAACCGCCTCCGGATCATCCGACTCCTCCTCACACATCTTCTGGATCTTGGGATGGGCACTCTGCAGCGCCCCGGCCAGTTCCTAGCAACCCGACAGTCAGTTGACAATCAAACGAGACCTAGCGCGCACCCCCAAGCTTACCTCAAACACATCACCCTCCGCGACCGGGTCACCAGGCTGGTGACTCTGTAGCATTTCCTCCAAGATCTTCGCCTTCTGCTGCACCTTGGCGACCTCTTCCGCCGCCTTAGCCCGGTAATCAGTCTTGTGTCTGTTGTCGTACCCGGCCATGACCTTCATCAGACGATTAGCCTCCTGCAGATCCGCAGGCGTACCCCTACGAATCAGCTCCTGCAATTTAGCCGACTGGGCCTCTTTCTCCTCCTCCTCCATTTCCTCCGCAGACCGCAGGTTCTATTAAAATACCCCTAGTCAGCAACACTCCCTAGAACCAGTGGGGGCGGGATCACGCACATCACTCGGGTTCAAGACGGCCGCATCCTCATGGCGAATTTCCGGAAACACATAACCCTTGTAGAGTAATAGCCGATGCATATCACGAATATGGCCTAGATCCTCCTTGTACCGCGACGTCTGGCAGATCGTCTGTCTCCACTCCTCAATGGACTCGAGGATGCGATGTTGCACCCGAGTCGGCCGCAGCTGCGGGCGCTCGGGGAATCGACGAACCAGCTCATTCAGAAACTCTTTGGTGCTAATCTGGAGGTGAAATGGGTAACCGCAATTTTTGACGCAGATGTCGAGAAGCTAAACGGGTGACAAAAGTCGCAGGGGTGGAATGTTAGCCCCGCATTCAGGCACATCTAAGCTCCATTCGATATATCTGGACAAAAGCCTACCGCCAATGCTAGTAACGCCACATTCTGATTCCGCGAGTTGATTAGATGGACGATTTCGAAGGCAGCTTCGCGAGGTCTAGAAGGGTGGAGGGTTGAGTGGGTTAGTTTAACGGCGCGGGTCGGTGAACGCGACACAGTAGTAAATTAGCAACTCACGCATTGCCCTTCTTGGAGTTGATCAGATCGGCCACTTCAAGATTCAGGGCGAGGTTGGGTTCGTAGTGCGACAAGTCGCAGGCATTTCCTGTAAGAGTCCGTAAATATTTAGCCAACCAAAAACTCAAAACAATTATGTATTGGTGTGTGTGTTGCTTTTGGGGAGGGACAAAAAGAACAGGGGTGACGTACGAACAGCCCGTTGCAGCGGTGTTAAGCCCGGCTCAGCGTAGGCACCGAAACGGTCCCTCGCTGCCATGCGTGCTGAAGCGGCCTCCAGGGTGACGGCGGATTATGTGTAAGATGGAGAAAGGGGGGAGAGAAAGTAAATAGCACAATTGAAATAAAAGGGAGTCAGTCGAACAGGACTGGGACTCAGGGCGGAGAGTGAGGGGAAAGGACCGGAGACAACAGAGTGAGAGAGCGAGAGAGATAGAGAGGGGATGAGTTAAGTTAGTAGCTCGAAATGGAACCAACCGACTTGGTTTACTTGCCCGAATCACTGACTCCCGCTGGCTGGCTGGCTTTACTAGTTCGTTTTCCCACTCCACGTGTGGCGCCCGCCGTCATCTTTCAACTTTCCCCTCTTTAATAAATTTCCGCAGTCCTTCAATCACCTCCACTGTCACTCAAAACAACAATATCAACAATATCAACAACAAGACATATCCACCATGGTCCGCCATAAAAAAGACAACTTCGCTCGAGGAGGCAAGAAATTCTCCTCCAAGGGTCCCCGTCCTCCCCGCCGCGATCCCGCCGACCCTGACGCCGATGATGCCGACCGCCCCTCCAGACCTCCCTTCAAAGCCGCCTGCTGGGATCTGGGTCACTGTGATCCCAAGCGCTGCTCAGGGAAGAGATTGATGAACTTTGGTCTGATGCGCGAGCTGCAGATCGGTCAGCGATTCCCGGGTGTAATTGTCTCGTACGTTGTCACCCATACCCTCTACACAAAAGACTCACAGAGAACTCCCAATCGCTAACACTCACATCACATCCCTCCAGTCCCAACGCAAAGAAGATTATCTCCCCGGCCGACAAAGATCTCCTCGAACAATTCGGTGCCGCAGTAGTAGAATGTTCCTGGGTGCGAGTGAAGGAAGTGCCCTGGTCGCGAATCGGAGGAAAATGCGAACGACTCTGTATGCCCCAACTTACAACCAATACCCACACCACCAACAACACTAACACCGAATGAAAAATAGTACCCTACCTCATCGCCGCCAACACAGTCAACTACGGCAAACCCTGGCGCCTAAACTGCGTCGAAGCCCTAGCCGCCTGTTTCTGCATCTGCGGCCACGAAGACTGGGCCCGTCAAGTCCTCAAACCCTTCCGCTACGGCGAAGCCTTCCTAGAAATCAACGGAAAACTACTCAAACGGTACGCCGCCTGCGCCGACGAAGACGAAATCAAGCGCGCCGAGGAGGAATGGCTCGCCAAGATCGAGCGGGAATATGAGGAGAGTCGGGCCGCGGGCGGCGCAGACGATATTTGGACGGTGGGGAATACGAATCGGAGGGCGGAGTCTGATTCCGAGGAGGAGGGTTCGGGGTCGGACAAGGACAAAGACAATCATGAAGATGAGGGAGAAGAGGAGGAAGAGGAAGAGGAAGATAAAGACCCCTTTGCGATATCAGACGACTCAGAAGAGGAAGAACAAATGGCTGCTATTCGAGCTAAGATTCTGAATTCCAAGTCGTTCCAGAACCCCTCGGCTTCGGATAAGCCGCAGCCAGAGAAGATTGCGAGACCGGAGGAGGAAGGGGCGAAGTCGAGGCCGTTGGAGGATTCGGATGCTGAGTCTGGGTCCGCGGAGGGGAGTGAGGATGAGGCGTTTGATAGTATTATCAATGCGACGCCGGTGACGGATCGGACGGGGATTATTGCGGCGCAGAAGAAGAAGGAGAAGGAGACGTTTAGTGCGTCGTTTTCCAGGACGGTGGTGGATGCGCCGAAGAGGTGGTAGTGGGATGGATCCTTTTTCTCATTGGGATGGTATTGGAATGGATTTGGACGTTACAAAAGTTATGATATGAGCATGCATCTCATGATGGGTACATATAAACAAATAGGGCATGAATATAATGAATGATACCGTGATGAGATTTACTATTATGGATGGATTGAGTAGTAGTTTGTTGATCGATTGACGTTGATTTATCAGTCTTTCTTTTTCTTCAATATAAACAGCGAAAACCAACCCCATCCCGTTCATTGCTGTCCCCGTCCCAGCCACATACAATGCATGCAAAGCATAACGAGGCATCTCAGACATATCAAGGCCATCATAACCATCTCATGCTTAGCGAGGAGGGGGAAAGGAAGAGTAAGAAAGTAAACAATAGATTGACTGAAACCCTTTTGCCCTATTCCGAATGAAGAGAAATGACTACCCCCTGCAAGCACCCCGCAAAATTACAAAGCAACTATTTACATAACATAGAGCACATTCACGTCTAAATGATTCCGTCAGAAAATTCCATCTTCCTAATCACGAAGCGACAGGCGACTGCTTACCCAAGGGATGGCTGCAGCTCAGCTGCGGCTTCTGCGTATACTTGGTGGACAACTCGTCTCGGATGCTGTTTAGCAGCTGGACGTAACTCTGCTGCGGGTTCTTGCGAAGCGCGCTGATAAAGGCCCAGGACATGGCGCCGGTAGCCTGGCCGGCGATCTGGGCGTCCTGACTGGTCTGGTCGTCCTTGCTGCCGGACCACATGATAACGTCGGCTGGACTGGTCTTGGTCTGGATGGTGCGCTCGTACGCCTCGTCGCCCTTGGTCGCCTTCTTGAAGAACCCAACGGCCGTCGACATCATGCCGCTCATGTCGCCACGCGCGTAAGCCGAAACCACACCCAGCAGGCCCTGGCCCGCCTCCTTGGCCAAGTTGGGTTCCTTGAGGATACCCTGGGTCGAGTAGATGTAGGGCAGGTCGAGTGCGGAACCCGAGTGACAGGAGTCGAAGATAGCCGTCAGTCGGACACCCGGCTGCAGCGGTTTGACCATGATCCGGTGCATCTCATCGTCGACAATGTGGCCGGCAGCCCGGAAATCGACCGGGTAGATAACTTCGTCGTATCCATCGTCCTCGTCACCGTCGAGATCAGGCGTCTGTCCACCATGTCCTGCTATTGTCAGACCCAGTCCAGCAAATCGGGGTTATGAGGAGGGTATACCAGAATAGTGGAAGAAGAGCGAATCGTTCGGCTGGGCATCCTTGACGAGCCAGTGCATAGCCCGAAGAATGTTAGCCTTGGTGGGTTGACTCATGGGATTTTGTTGATCATCCGTCAGGAGAACCATGTCTTCGCGAGCGTAACCAAAGTTCTGGTTTAGGTAGGTGGACATGTTCTTGACATCGTTGATACATCCGCGCAACTGGCCCTTCTGGTTAAAGTAGTTGATACCGATCAGCAACGCCTTTCTCTTGCCCGTGCAGCGCGAGTACTGGAAGTTGTAACCCTGCGGCGCGCCTTGGCCGAAGCTGACGGGTTCGCTGGGCGGCGGCGGAGGGGCGCTGTGGTTGCCTTGGTTGTAGGAGTTATGGTAAACATCGGCGATACCTAATAGAGGCGTCAGTTGGGATAGAAGCTTGCACAAGACATCGGAGTGACATACCTGGCCGGCCCCCATACATCGGGCCTTGGCTGGCAGAAGGGTAGCCACCCTAGAGAAGCGACGTCAGCTTCCACCCATACCCACCAACATGCAGAACCGCGACGCATCATGCAAGACATACATTGTATCCGTTTTGAGGGGGTTGCGATCCTTGGTACTGCTGAGGAGAGGGCTGGCTGTAGGGGTAAGGGTTGCTGGGAGGCTGCTGTTGGCGATAAGCCTGGCCGGGGTAACCACCGCCCCCGTAGGACGAGTGGTGGTGTGAGTGGTGAGGATTCATCTGTCTGCCAAAGCTACGTCAGCGCGACGTCTGGAAGTAGTGACTTTTGTATTTTTATGATGGCCGAAGAAAGACTGAAAGTTTATGAAGAACAAAATCTCACGAGGGGAGCAAGCAAGGAGGTCTCACGGCTGCTGATATTGGGGCGGGGAGCCATAGCTCTGCTGCTGCGGAGGATAGGAATATTGCTGCGGAGGGTACCCGGGCGGGCCCGAGTAAGGTGGATAGTAGGACATGGTCTGACAAGAAAGAGGAGGAGGAGGGGGGGAGGGAGGGGAAGGGAAAGAGATCAGGTGAAACCAAGAAGAAGGTTTGATGTGAGGATAGGGATGCAAGCCGGCAGGAAGCAGACAAATAAGAGGTGAGTGAACGGGAGGGATGATGGGGGGGGAAAAGGTGGAAGGGAAGGATGGAGGAGGAACAAGAAAAGGCGCAGGCGTCAGTCAGTCAGTCAGATGGGGAACCGATGGCAGATTTGCAGCATAAGCCAGTGGAGCGGATCGCGCCGATTGGGTTCCGGACCGGGGAGAAAGAAGGGGGAGAATCAATACAGAAGAAGTAGTAGTAGATAGATACTACCTAAGTAATAATAAAGACCCAAATCACTGGGAAACTAAAACTAAAAGTAAAAATTGATGGGCGATTCTTACTCCTCGAGGAAAGGCACGACTAATTAAATTAATATGTTAATGGTCTCCCTGCACGACGCACGTCCATCCTTCCTTCCTTTTTCCACTCGGTCCCTCCGGCGCAGAAAAACAAAGCATGCCTCGGTCTCCCCGAATCCCTTTTTTGTTCTCTTTTTCCCTGTCTGTCTCTCCTGTGCTTTCTGCTTCTGCCATAAGCAAATAAACGAACATGCCCAATTTCAGACAGCCAGCCAATTCCTGCATTCCTCATGTCTTCCCCCCCCCCCGATCCACACCTTAAATAGCACGGACTTGCCTATCCACCCCCTTGGGCCCAGAACACTCATCTAGAAAATTCCCAATCGTCCATTCTCTACAAAAAGTAGATCTTCCATCATGCACAATCCCTGCGTGTTTCCTGCTTGCTGCCACGTGACTGTGCAATAACCTGCTACACCGAAGAATGAATAGTTCCATACGTAGGTAGTAAAACAGACACCTCAGGCAGTACTGATTATAAACAACTCAAATTTTCCCCTTTATAGTTATGGGAGATTCGAAATTTGTTTTACTGTACTAGTGGTACCTCTCTTCTTCCCTCCAACCTATCCCAATCCATCCTTCGTCTTCCGACGTTTACCGTCCACGTCGGGGCATGCCACGTCCGCGGCCTCCTCCAAGCGCCCGCTGGGCAGCACCCGGCGGCAGGCCTCGTGTTGGGGCCTGAGCTTGGGCCGACTCTTCGTTTTCTGGAGGGGAAAAAGAAAATCACCATCGGTCAGCCTAAAGGATACTATAGGGCTTAGGGATGACACTATATCACTGGGGTACTCACTGATCGTCTCGTCCACACTCAAGATCAAGC